GTTCAAAACAGATGCTGCACTCCATCTGAAACAATTACGTATACATACTCTTAATTAATAAAAGATTTTTGGATCTAATTTGCTATAAGTTTCTGTATCTGTATGATAGCGACCTGCGAAATTCAGTGTCGTTTTGAATCATGATAAGACAGCGCGAGTTCAAAAATGGGCACTCTAGCTCAAAAACTGACCCCTTAAAAAAATCAAAAACAGGCTGCAAAATGTATTTTTGAATTATTATTTTTTATGTGCTCCTAAGGGGTAACTCGCAAAAGAAGAATCCTTTCGAAGAAAATTTCGTCTGTTTTGCTCTATTTCTTACTATAGGGGTGCTAGGGGCATTTCAAGACGAAGATCAGCCAAAAAAAAAAGCAAATAGCTAATTCAGTCGTATTAAAAAGGTGCATATCAAAACACTGTAGAGAAAATACCCCCTTAAACCAGACATTTTGGGTAGAAACGGACGTTTTATAAGAGTTCTAGGTGCACTTGACCTCCTACTGTTACATAAGATGTAGTTATTACGTCAAAATCTCAGAAAATTGAGACTTAAAATGTAACCTTTTACAGTTCACCTCAGGACCCGCTTCGCATACTTTGAAGTGATAGCCCTGATAGCCGCTGTAAGGACATAAGATTTGGGGCCGCAAGGCCCCAATTCTGAAGTTATTTACTAACTCACATGATGGGTGTCAGCGCCGCAGGTCTAGCTGTGCGCCAGTCGCGTCGCAGCGGAACAGTGTTTCGTGAGATATTGTGAAGCCTGTTACGAGAGACGTGGCCTGCCGTACACACTAAATGCACACTCAGCCCGTCACTGGCATTTTGTATAGATAGATGAACTTCTTCATACAGCAGTAAGTCACAAATTTTGTGAGTAATGTGAATTATTTTGAAAGTTGATACTCACAAGAAGTCATTAGCCCGCTCTTTTGCTTAAAAGCTACACTCTAAATGTAAAGGGACAATTTTGTCCGTAGATTTGGAACGATTTCGTGCACATCTAGAAAGGATGCAATTTTGTTCCTAAAACTAGACAAATTGTGTGAAACTTCACACAATTTGTCCAATTAAGGGAACAAAATGAGGTATTTTACGAATAAGAAGAAGAGGAGGAATCCCAGCCGACGTCTGCTCCCGGACCATAACAAAGCCATGACCAAGCGCACGGTTTCTCGCGTATCTTCGCTAATACTGAAAAGAAATCATAACTGTTCTATGTCATTTTAAAGCTGAGAAGCTCAAGAATCTGGTTCACGAGAAATCGCGACGTTACGCGCCAGTGACCTGCGTCTTGTTATGGTCCAAAAGCCGGGATTCCTTCTGTTCTTATTCGTAAAATACCTCATTGCATCCTTTCTGGATGTGCACGAAATCGTTGCAAATCTACGGACAAAATTGTCCCTTGACATTTAGAGTGTATATAAGCGGGCTTATGCCATCGCCTCTGTGTTCGTCTGT